AACTATAGAACACTCATGAAAGAAAATGAAGAAGACAAAAAGAAATGGAAAATGTTTTATGCTCATGGTTTGGAAGAACAAATACTGTTGCAATGTCTATGCTACCTAGAGTAATCTATGCATTTAAAGCAATCGCTATTAAAATACCATCAATTTTTTTCAGAGAGCTGGAACAAATAATCCTAAAATTTGTATGGAACCAGAAAAGACCCCAAATAGCCAAAGGCATGTTGAAAATGAAAGCCAGAGCTGGTGGCAGCACAATTCTGGATTTCAAGCTCTATTACAAAACTGTTATCATCAAGACAGTATGGTTTTGGCACAAAAACAGACACATAGATCAATGGCACAGAATAGAGAACCCAGAAATGGACAACTCTATGGTCAACTAATCTTTGACAAAGTAGGAAAAAATATCCAGTGGAAAAAAGAGAGTTTCTTCAACCAATGGTGTTGGGAAAATTGGACAGCTACATGCATAAGAATGAAACTGGACCATTTCCTTACACCATACACAAAAATAGACTCAAAATTGTTGAAAGATCTAAATGTGAGACAGGAGTCCATCGAAATCCTAGAGAAGAACACAGGCTGTAACCTCTTTAGCTTTGGCTGCAGCAACTTTGTGCTAGACATGTCTCCAAAGGCAAAGGAAACAAAAGCAAAAAATGAACTATTGGGACTTCATCAAGATAAAAATGTCTTGCACAGCAAAGGAAATAGTCAACAAAACTAAGAGGCAGCTCACAGAATAGAAGATATTTGCAAATGACGTTACAGATAAAGGGCTGATATTCAAGATCTATAAAGAACTTCTCAAACTCAACACTCAAATAATCCAATCAAAAAATGGGCAGAAGACATAAATAGACATTTCTGCAAAGAAGACATCCAGATGTCCAACAGACACATGAAAAAGTGCTCAACGTCACCAGCCATCAGGGAAATACAAATCAAAACCACAGTGAGATCCCATCTCACACCAGTCTGAATGGCTAAAATTAACAAGTCAGAAATGACAGATGTTGGCAAGGATGTGCGGAAAGGGGAACCCTCCTACACTGTTGGTGGGAATGCAAGCTGGTGCAGCCACTCTGGAAAACAGCATGGAGGTTCCTCAAAAAGTTGAAAATAGAGCTACCTTACGACCCAGCAATCGCAGTACTGGGTATTTACCCTAAAGATACAAATGTAGTAGTCCAAAGGGGCACAGGCACCTGAATGTCTACAGCAGCAATGTCCACAATAGCCAAATTATGGAAGGAAACTAGATGTCCACCAACAGATGAATGGATAAAGAAGAAGTGGTATATATATACAGTGGAATACTATGCAGCCATCAAAAAACTTGAAATCTTACCATTTGCAATGACGTGCGTGGAACAAGGTATTATGCTGAGTGAAATAAGTCAATCAGAGAAAGACAATTATCATATGATCTCCCTAATATGAGGAATTTGAGAGGCAGAGTGACAAGTCATGAAGGCTAGGGAGGGAGAAAATGAAACAAAATGGGATTGGGAGGGAGACAAACCATAAGAGACTCTTAATCTCAGGAAACTGAGGATTGCTGGAGGGTGGGGAGGTAGGGATAGGGTGCTACATTATGGACATTGGGGAGGGTATGTGCTATGGCGAGTGCTGTGAAATGTGTAAGCCTGATGATTCACAGACCTGTACCCCTGGGTCAAATAATACATTATATATTAATTTTTTTTAAGTTACAAAGAAAGATTAAAAAAAATGGGCAGAAGACATGAACAGACATTTCTGCAAAGAAATACAAATAGCCAACAGACACATTTAAAAAAGCTCTACATCACTCGGCATCAAGGAAATACAAATCAAAGCCACAGTGAGCTATCACCTCACACCAGTCAGAATGGTTACAATTAACAAGTCAGGAAATGACAGATGTTGACAAGGATGCAGAGAAAGGGGAACCCTCTTATGCTCTTGGTGGGAGTGTAAGCTGGTGCAGCCACTCTGGAAAATAGTATGGAGGTGTCTCAAAAAGTTGAAAATAGAGCTACCCTATGACCCAGCAATTGCACTACTGGGTATTTACCCCAAAGAAGTCTTACTCCATTTACCTACATATGTAGTGATTTGAAGGGGTATCGGCATCCCAATGTTTATAGCAGCCATGTCCACAATAGCCGAACTATGGAAAGAGCTGAGATGTCCACTGACAGATGAATCAATAAAGAATATGTGGTATATATGTACAATGGAATAGTAGCCATAAGAAAGAATGAAATCTTACAATTTGCAATGATGTGGTTGGAACTAGACGGTATTATGCTAAGCAAAATAAGTCAGCTAGAGAAAGACAATTATCATATGATCTCACTCATTTGGGAACTTAAGAAACAAAACAGAAGATCATAGAGGAAGAGAGAAAATGATAAAACAAGATGAAATCAGAGAGGCACACAAACCATAAGACTCTTAATCATAGAAACAAACTGAGAGTTGCTGGAGGAGTGGAGGTGGGGGGATGGAGTAACTGGGTGATGGAGGGAAAAAAAGAGTGAATTTTACTCTATGTAAATTGGACTCCAATAAAGCCAACCTTAAAAAAAATAAAATCAGATCCAGATTTAAGGCAAAATTAACAATAACTTCTTAGACAACCTTTCTTAAAAAGAAAAAGAAAAAACAAGTCATTAACTTTCTTTATTGAAATTAGTCCCTTTCTTTCCTTTTCATGAATTTGAAAACTTACAGGCAAACATAATATGTTTTTATTAAATAACTGGTTTAAGCCAAAATGGGATATAATTTTTCTAAAGGCAGACTTGTTAGACTTGCTTAAATAAAGTTTATGAATATAATTAATGTTGTTCTCAATGTGAAAATAAATTAACAATGTTGAGTAGTAGAGTTAATAAAACTTTATGTCAAAGCAATATGAATAAATTTATAGCCTGAGACACAATTTTATATAAGACTTTGAAAGAAGCTATTTTCTTAATGAGTGTCTTGGTCAAGCTCATGCAAGATAATTGTAAAATTAATATACACATCTATTGGTTTCATGATCACTTTAATAGGCTTTATAAAAACATTTTTATTTATTTTTTAAATTTCTTTTCAGTGTTCCAGAATTCATTGTTTATGCACCACACCCAGTGCTCCATGCAATACGTGCCCTCCACAATACCCACCACCAGGCTCACCCAACCTCCCACCACCCTCCCCTCCAAAACCCTCAGTTAGTTCCTCAGAGTCCACAGTCTCTCATGGTTCTTTTCCCCCTCCAATTTCCCACTTTAATAGGCTTATAAACACATTTTAATTTTAATTTCTACTTTGGAGCTAAAAATAAATAAGCTTATTTCTTTAATGTGAAACCTATGCCTTTTGCTGTTGCATAGTTACTAGACTCTGGGTTGAATGTCAGATAAGTTCCCATGGATTTTTATTTTCAGCTGAAACGAGAGAACTTCTGTCCTTGTTCTTGGTGCTTCTTAAAAAATACTTTCTCATATATGTAAGAAGAAAAAAATGGCACCTCCCCATACCCCGCATCAAAAACTGATAATGGACTCAACCAAGTGATCGTGCTTCTGCTTTCCAAGACTGAAGGACTTACAACAATTGTTAATAAGGCACCTTGGACACTCTGTCATTTTTTGTAGAACCCCCTAGTGTTCCACAAAACCCCATTTGAGGAAACCTGCTCTAAGGATTTGGATAACGAATACTAGGGTAATGCAAACGCCTATACATAATTATTAACCTAAATTGTTTTTTCAATCTACTTAGCACTTAAAGTCATATCATCCGTACCTTGTAAAACACTGTCCAAAAGGACAAGTAAGATCTGGATATGTTTAAAAGAGGGAAAGGGCATGTCAAATGAGGAGAATAATTAGAGCAAACGCTAGTGGAGCAAGGGATTCTATAGTAGATAGAACTGGGTGATACCAACAAAGAACTCTTGGATGATAATAGACTTGAAGTTGGGGGAAAATTATGATTGAGTTGTACAGTCCTTGAACTAAGGAAGGAAAGTCTTAAAAACCCACTAAGGTTTTCACAGGTGAGTGAAACTGATGAAAGAGATTGGAAGGAAGATGAATCTAGACAGGCAAGCACAGATATTGTTGTGATAATTCATGCAAGTGGAAATGAGAGCCAGAACCAGAATGGCGACAATAGATATGAAGGAATGGGAAGGGTATGGGACACATGGTGAGTAGAGTTGATGGTATCAGGGATCAAAAAGACAATGAATATATTTACACTAATGGTGTTTCCATTCTCAAAAATATTAGAAATGTGGAATTGAGTAAACTTTTTTTGAAGTGCAGCTAGGCTGAGCTATATTCAAGACTTACCTCCAAGTCGTCTCTCTTGGCCTCCCTCCCAACACTATTCCTATCATTTCACAAAGGAATACAGACCCAGCAGTGTCAGATTGTCTTATTTTTCAAGAGAAGCTAGAAATCGAGCTACTTTGTGATACCTTCCATTTTTAAATGTTAACAATTCCATTTCGTCGTTGTTGTTGTTAACAAGTAAAACCTTCTATGGACTAGACTTGGTTGCTAATTTGCAACCTGTTTCTAGAATTCTGTGTGCTGCTTTCTAAAATCACTTCAAAATATACCCTGAACCGGGGCGCCTGGGTGGCTCAGTGGGTTAAGCCGCTGCCTTCGGCTCGGGTCATGATCTCAGGGTCCTGGGATCGAGTCCCGCGTCGGGCTCTCTGCTCAGCAGGGAGCCTGCTTCCTCCTCTCTCTCCGCCTGCCTCTCTGTCTACTTGTGATCTCTCTGTCAAATAAATAAAATCTTAAAATATATATATATATATATATATATATATACCCTGAACCAAGAGGTAACATAATGCTTTTGAAGCCTCTCTGCATAATTCCTAGCAGGAATTAATTAGCAGGAAGCTCATAGAAAGGGTTTTTATAGTAGCTAATATTTTCCTTTTGTTGGAATGTTGATTTTAAAGTTACAACTCTTTTCCTGCTTCTTCCCAGCCAGGTCTCTAGACAAACTTTATAACTTTGCTGATTGCTCTGGACTCCACCTGATATTTGCTCTAAATGCACTGCGTCGTAATCCCAATAACTCCTGGAACAGTTCTAGTGCCCTGAGTCTGTTGAAGTACAGCGCCAGCAAAAAGTACAACATTTCTTGGGAACTGGGAAATGGTGAGTAAGGATGTTATTTCCTCTGAATTGACAAGATAAAAAAATAAGTTGGTCTGGAGTATAGCCTCAGTTAGACTATCTATAGAGTACTAGCCCAGAAAACACTTCGAATATTTGGCCACCGAATTGACCTTCTAAATAGGAAAAGACCAAATAGTGAAGTACAGTAGATTTAGTGAATCTACACCTACTTGGAACTGTGGTATCATTTGCTGTGTTGTTTCACTTCATATTAAGGACAATGAAAGAAACGGTTGAAAGAATACTATTGGCCAAAAGATCTGAATAGACATTTCTCCAAAGAAAAATATAAAAGGCCAAAAAAACACATGAAAAGATGTTCAACATCTTTAGCCATCAGGGAAAAGCAAATCAAAACCACAATAAGATAGTATTTCACATCCACTAGGATGCTCATGATAAAAAAAGGATAACAACTGTTGGCAGGGATGTGGTGAAATCAGAACCCTCATACACTGCTGGTGGGAATGTTAAACAGTGTAACCACTTTGGAATACAGTCAGGCAGTTCCTCAAAAGTTAAATATAGAGTTCCAAATGACCTAGCAATTCTACTCCTAGGTATATATTTAAGAGAAATGAAAACATATGTCCACAGAAAAATTTATATGTGGTAGCATTATTCATATGGGCCAGAAAGTGGAAACAACCCAAATGTCCCATCAACTGATAAATGGATAAATAAACTGTGGTATAGCCATATGATGGAATATTATTTGACCACAAAAAAGGAATGAAGCACTGATACACACTAGAACATGGATGAACCTTGAAAAGATTATGCTAAATGAAAAAACCCAGTCACATATTTATATAAAAGGTCCAAAATAGGTTAATCTAAAGAGACAGTAGATTAGTGGTTGCCTACAGCTAGGGGTGGCTGAGATGAGAGGTAACTGCTAAAGGGTCTGAGGTTTCTTTTGGGGGTGAAAAAAATGTTCTAAAATTTGTTGTGATGATTGCACAACTGTGTAAATATGCTTAAAACCATTGAATTAAATACATTAATTTGGTGAATTATATGGATGTAAATTTTACCTCAGTACTGCTATTACCAAAAAAAAGAAAAATACTGTGTTTGTCTTTTCTATTTTAAAGGGCATACAATGCATATTTTCTGCCACCAGTTGGTGACAAAAACCTTTGAGTTACCTCCTTAGGAGTTTATTTGTAATTGTTAACAATTTTGTCATCCTACTTTTACATAGTATTTAGTTTACATAGCAAGTCCAAATACTCTTCTATTTGGATCTTAAAGTGCTAAATGAAGAGCCCTTTAAGTATTTCCTCACTTCCTAGGTGAGGAAATACATTGAAAAAGGTAAAGAGAATTGGTAAAGACAGCAGTAAATGCTAGATCTATGTCAGGAACTTGGAGCATTTAAAAAAAAATTTTTATTATAAAAAACTAAAAAAATTTTTTATTATGTTCAGTTAGCCACTGTATAATACATCATTAGGGTTTTTTTTTAAGATTTTATTTATTTATTTGACAGACAGAGATCACAAGTAGGCAGAGAGGCAGGCAGAGAGAGAGAGGAGGAAGCAGGCTCCCCGCGGAGCAGAGAGCCGGATGTGGGGCTTGATCTCAGGTCCCTGGGATCGTGACCCAAGTGGAAGGCAGAGGCTTTAACCCACTGAGCCACCCAGGTGCCCCCATCATTAGTTTTTGATACAGTGTTCAATGATTCATTAGCTAAGTATAACACCCAGTGCTCATCACAGCATATGCCCTCCTCAATACCCATCACCCTGTTACCCTCTCCCCCAACCCTCCTTCCTTCTGAAACCCCCAGATTGTTTCTCGGGATCCATAGTCTCTCATGGTTCAATCTCTAATTTCTACCCCTTTAGATTTCCCTCCCTTCCCCTATGGTCCTTCATGCTATTGCTTATGTTCCACATGAATGAAACCATATCATAATTGTCTCTCTGCTTGACTTACTTCACTTAACATAATCACCTCCAGTTCCATCCATGTGGATGCAGATGGTGGTTATTCATTGTTTCTGATGGCTGAATAATATTCCATTGTATATATGTATCACATCTTCTTTACCCATCCATCTGCTGAAGGGCATCTCAGCTCCTTCCACAGTTTGGCTATTGTGGACATTGCTGCTACGAACATTGGGGTGCTCATGCCCCTTCTTTCCACTATGTCTGTATCTTTGGGGTATATATCCAGTAGTGCAATTGCTGGGTCATAGAATAGGTTTATTCTTAACATCTTGAGGAACCTCTATACTGTTTTCCAGAGTGGCTGTACCAACTTGCATTCCCACCAACAGATTAAGAGGGTTCCCTTTCCTCCACATCCTCACCAACATTTGTTTTTTCCTGTTTTGTTAATTTTGGCCATTCTAACTGGTGTAAGGTGATTTCTCATTGTGATTTTGATTTGTATTTCCCTGATTGCTGGTGATGTTGAGCATTTTCTCATGTATCTGTTAACCATTTGTGTGTCTTTTATGGAGAAGTGTTCATGTCTTCTGCCCATTTTTGGACTGGGTTATTAGTTTTTTGAGTGTTGAGTTTGAGAAGTTCTTTATAGATCTTGGATATCAGCCCTTTATCTGTAATGGGATTTGCAAATATTTTCTCCCATTCTGTGAGCTGCCTCTTAGTTTTGTTGACTGTTTCCTTTGCTGTGCAGAAACTTTTTATCTTGATGAAGTTCCAAAAGTTCATTTTTATTTTTGTTTCACTTGCCTTTGGAGACATGTCTTGAAAGAAGTTACTGTGGCCAATGTTGAAGAGGTAACTCCCTATCTTCTTCTGAAGGATTTTGACGGATTCCTATCTCACACTGAGGTCTTTCAACCATTTTGAGTTTATCTTTGTGTATGGTGTAAGGGAGTGGTCCAGTTTCATCCTTCTATATGTAGCAGTCCAATTTTCCCAGCACCACTTATTGAAGAGACTGTCTTTTATCCATTGGATATTTTTTCCTGATTTATTAAAGATTAATTGACTATAGAGTTGAGGGTCCATTTCTGGAGTCTCTATTTTGTTCAATTGGTCTATGTGTCTGTTTTTGTGCCAATACCATGCTGTCTTGGTGATAACAGCTTTGTAATATAGCTTGAAATCAGGCAATGTGATGCATTTGGGACTTCTAACAGAAAAGCAGGTAATCTATTTTATTACTCTATGAGGGTTTTTTAATGGTACTAAAACTTCTTAGTTTTCTTCACTTCCTTCAACTTTCATTCAACAAATATTTATTAACTTCCTAGTATTGTACCAAAGGTACAATATTTTGTAGAGATATAAAATATTTTTATATTTTTGAGAGATATCAGAGTAAATAACCCTGCCTACATTCTAGTAGAGAAGATAGGTAATAAGATTTGAAAACAGTTCATCATTATGTTCTCTCATACATTTTTGCCCTTTAGTAATTCAAATTGAAGTATTCAACTTGACCCTATTCTTTTTGTGACAATGAATTAATGTACCTCTGCCTTCAGTCCCTCCTATCCTGTTCTCTCACTTTCTCCTTTTGCCCTCTCTCACCTTCTTTCTCTCCCTTCCTTCCTCTTCATTTCACAATTCATTTTCAAATTTATATACTTAAACAAACATCTTGGAAGTCCAATTTTAGAACATTTCCATCACTCCAAAAAGTTCCCTCATACTCATTTGCCATCAATCCCTGTAACCGTGCCCAATCTCAGGAAATCTTAATCTGTTTCCCATCTATAGGTTTGTCTTTTATGGACACTTTCTTTAATTGGATTATATAATAGTCTTTTGCATCTGACTTCTTTCACCTAGCATGTTTTTGAAGTTTATCCATGTTGTAGCATATAAAAGTAGCTCATTCCTTTTTATTGCTGAATAGTATTCCAGTGTATGGCTATGTATCCCATTTTGCTTTTCCAATTACCAGATGATGGACATCTGGATTGTTTCTACTTTTGGGCTTTGATAAATAATACTGCTATAAACATTCACATATAAGTCTTTGTGTGGATATTTGCTTTTTTTTCCTCCTAGGAAGATACCTAGGAGGGGAGTAGAGTTGCTAATTCATATGGTAAGTTTATGTTTATTTTTTTATTTTTATTTTTTTTAATTTTATTTTTTATAAACATATATTTTTTCCCCCAGGGGTACAGGTCTGTGAATCGCCAGGTTTACACACTTCACCGCACTCATCATAGCACATACCCTCCCCAATGTCCATAATAACCCCACCCCCCCTCCCAACCCCCCTCCCCCCAGCAACCCTCAGTTTGTTTTGTGAGATTAAGAGTCACTTATGGTTTATCTCCTTCCCAATCCCATCTTGCTTCATTTACTCTTCCCCTACCCCCTTAACCCCCATGTTGCATCTCCTCTCCCTCATATCAGGGAGATCATATGATAGTTGTCTTTCTCCGATTGACTTATTTCGCTAAGCATGATACCCTCTAGTTCCATCCACGTCGTCGCAAATGGCAAGATTTCATTTCTTTTGATGGCTGCATAGTATTCCATTGTGTATATATACCACATCTTCTTTATCCATTCATCTGTTGATGGACATCTAGGTTCTTTCCATAGTTTGGCTATTGTAGACATTGCTGCTATAAACATTCGGGTGCACGTGCCCCTTCGGATCACTACGTTTGTATCTTTAGGGTAAATACCCAGCAGTGCAATTGCTGGGTCATAGGGTAGCTCTATTTTCCACATTTTGAGGAACCTCCATGCTGTTTTCCAGAGTGGTTGCACCAGCTTGCATTCCCACCAACAGTGTAGGAGGGTTCCCCTTTCTCCGCATCCTCGCCAGCATCTGTCATTTCCTGACTTGTTAATTTTAGCCATATGTTTATTTTTTAACAACTGCCAAATATTTTCCTAAGTAGCTCTACCATTTTACATTTTCACTAGAAATGTATAAGGATTCTAGTTTTTCAACATCTCTGGAAACACTTGTTAATGTCTGCTGATTATAACCATTATAGTGAGTTTGAAGTAGTATCTTAATAT